GAAGGAGAAACCCTAAACCCCAAACCCTAAACTCTAAACCCTAAGCCCTGAGCCCTAAACCCTAAACCCTAAGCCCTAAAGTGGAGTTGTGGATGCAAGACCGTGGAGCATTGATCTGGGGACCCGGTCTCGGGGGCGACAGCTTGAGGATTGTCTTCCCAGACCCTCCAAAGCCCCCTTAAATTCAGGAATACCCCCAAAGGGTTTAGGGTTTAGGGTCCAAGTACCATTATAGTAGCTACTTAATAGCCATTTCGGCCCCCAAAGTACATACTATACTAGTACTTGGACCCTTTGGGACCTGAACCCGAACAGAACCTACCTTTTTAGGGTTCCTTGTTATGATTTCCTTCTACAAGTCCATGAAAACTAGGTTATTCTGGGTTCAGGAATATACCCTAAAGGGTTCCGGAAAGGGACCTATACGGGTTTCGATAAGGGCGCTATAAGAATAAAGGAACATAACTTAAGTCATAATAGGGATCCTACGTGATCCTACTGTAATCTGAGGAATATGCTTTACGTGCGGGATTTTGGAAGGTCTGGGTTACAGGATACACTAGCCTGTCTACACCCAAGGCTGAGCTCATGAACTAGGGCCACGCTCACGGAAACCGATGCTGTTGTTCAGATTCTGAAACTGGCCCAAAGTGCCCCACAAAACCGTCTAAGACTTCATGAGACTAACGCTTACACCCACTTTGTATAGTCCTGCTTAGACTTATGCTATGAAATGCCCCCCCGCCCAACCCTACTCTTATCACTGAAGCTCCTCAATTAATCTCTTACCTAGTCCCTTAAATCCCCAAAACCGCAAAACCCTAAACCCTACTTGCCAAATGAATGGTCCCACAGGACCCCCCCCCCCCCCGAACAGAGCCTTGAGCTGCAAGGGTAATGTGTAGGCTTTAGGGTCTTAAGGGTGTCAAGGGTTTAGGGGTTTAGGGGTTTAGCTTGGTGAAAGATTTCGACAGAGTGGCAAGCATAGAGTGCCATTTGGTTCGAGTAGGTCGAAAGATGGTGGTTGGCCACGTCCTGGCGCCCAAAGCTGTCGGCGTCTGTCGGAGGGAGGGGTAGGGTAGGGTTTAGGGCTTCGGCTCGGTGGGCAACAAGACGTCGCACTTGCAAACAGTTCCAACACGAGCACACCTCCAAAGGCTGTTGCTGGACAACAAAGATTACCCCTCAGTTTCAGAATAGCATCCAGCTTACACCTTCGGGGCCGTTAGATTTACAGCGCGAGGCGTCGTCCAAAACCTCGCCCCCGGACCCTTGGAGTCGTGGCATCCGACACACACTTCGGTTCCGAAGCTTACCAAACCCGAAGCCATGTGTGTTTGATGAGAATAAGCAATGACAAATGGTTCTCATCCCTTTCTTAGGATGGGACGTTCACAGAAAACGGAAAAGCTGACGGGGAGACCAACGACTTATAAACCCGAAGCCCTGTAATAAACCTTGCATCCTAAGCCCGAAGCCCTAAAACCCTACACCCCTGAAGCCCTAAACCCTAAACCCTGAACCCTCAACCCTAAACCCCAAATCCTAAACCCTAAACCCTAAAACCCTACACCGCTGAAGCCTAAGCTTACCATCCAAAAACGCAGCTCTGGCCTGCTGGTAGGAATCGTAGAGCTCTTTGCCTTGGATCTCCCTAAACTCCTAACCCCTAAAGTATCCTCAAAAAGCAAAGCCGTGTTTAGTGTTTCGGCTGCAAATTTTTTCTTGCGAGAAATTCAGGCATTCCAATCCGCATCAAAGTATAGCACTACGGCAGCTAGAAGCCTTCCCGACACCCACAACGCAAACGAGGCATGAGCAGAACCAGCCTAAGCCCCAAACCATAGGATGTAAAGCCCAAGCCTCACAACCCTAAGCCCTAAATAGTCTAATAGAGTTACTTCAGCCCAGCGGCCTAATCCGGCCAACTTCGATTTGTCGAGGCAGTGACCGTAGCCTGCGTCACAAGGTTGTGGCTTGTGGCTGTTGGTGTTCGAAACCAAGAGCTTTCAAAACCCGGAACGCGATGCGCTTCATAACTAAAGCACCATACACGTAGAAACAAAAAACGCCCGAGTTCATCAATCATCCCCAAACCCTAAGGCCCTAATGCCCTAAACCGGCTTGTCACCCACAGCTGAACTTAAGCCCAGAGCCTTGCAACTCAACGCCCATGAGCCGCTAATCCCGCAAGCCAGACTTACACAACAAGTTCAAGAAACCCAAACCACTTATGTCGACAACCCTTCTCCCAAAAGGGTGCCGATGGTCACCGGGGTGCCTTGGTAGGTCACGAGATGACCCCGAGGAAAGGCGCTGCGGGCTAGCTGAGCACTGGTGTAAGCCTGGGCTGGTTTGGGGTGCATGACTAGCTAAACGATATGGTCTTGCAAACCGAAGAACTCAGGGCACAAAGTAGAATACTATACCAAGGCCCAGAGGCAGTGTTCGGATCATGCAAATTGCCAATGATCACAGGACTCACCTGGCCATTGCCGAGGGGTGGCACAGGCCGTGCATCGGCAGGCCAGGTGCTGATGCCAACTACCCACGTCAAGGCCCAGGGGGTGCCGATTGGCTGCTTCGCCATGGACTCCTGGCTGCCACTTCTGAGCTTGAAAACCCTAACCCCCACGATCCCCTACACCCAAAACCACAAAACCCCCACAGCCTGGACCCTAAAAACAAAAGCCAAGAAGGGGACGTCCCCAGCTGACTTTGTCTGGTCCTTCCACCACTGGATCATGGCTTCCTCGTTCAACCTGCCGGCAGTGTCGGTGCCCATCACCATGGCCTGCATTCCAAAGTCAAACAGGTCCTCGCTGAGTGTGATTGGCGCGTCGTCCGACTGTACGAGGTACCTTACTTGTAGAATCAAGAGCCAAAAAGTTAAAACTTCAGGCTTATAAGACGTAACCTTACCCCCCCAATCTTAACTTACTAATTCTGCTACCAAAGATACTCAAGCACAGCAGGGCAGTCCTCTGAGTCCACTCCGGACCAATAAAACTCAACGCAAGCCAGGAACAACGCCGCCACGGCTTCTATGTTCCTAGGATTCCCAATTTTTAGGGTTTAGGGTAAGGAAAAAAACCTAAGACCACGAAACAGAAAAAAAGGGCCCACCGAAAACATCGAGGTGCTCGTCACCGCCTTTCTGAAAGATGGCCAGGTCTGCAAGTAGGTAGAGGAGGGCTGCTCGGAAGGGACGGCTTGAATCCTCGACTCATCAGGCCCCAAAAAACTTCAAACGCTTTAGGGTTTAGGGTTTAGGGTAGTTTTAGGG